AGTGAAAGTTCTCAAGGAGATCACCAAAGAGGAAGTAGGCAATTTGCTGAACCTCTATAAACACTTGTGTCATTTCTATTTGGTTAATTTTCTGTGTGTGTGTAAGACTCATCCATCATTGAGTTTGTCACAAAGTTCATCAACAACAAGGTCCTAAAGGGAAGTGAGTTAGTATTAATTCACTACACCAATCATATAATTGACTGCGATATATTTTAGTACCAAATTATTAAGTAGATTTTTTTATTTTTTACAACAGAAGGTATTCAAAACTACATAATTCATCCACAACAAACTTATGACATAATGAAGTATTGAACTCACCACAAATATGCATTCATGTGCATCTAACATGAGATCTTCTCCAATCAAATGGAGGAGACAACTACTAATATAGTTAATTCAGTGATTTAAAAAAACACAAAAATTGTTTATATACCCTTCACAAATTGGAGATTTTTATAAGTATTTGGCGTGTGTGAATATATATTGAGGGATTCTTTAAATAATCTTATTTGAGCAACACCTTGTGGGGCCCATTGACAAATTTATTTCAACTATCCGAACCGTTTATTTTTCTAGTCTTCATTCATAAATCATCCTTGCAAAAAAATTCGACGAATAAGAAATCATTAAGACATCTAGTTGTGGCCAACAAAATCGACGAACATAGTGCTTAAGAAAACACTAAAATAACAACTATTAAATTGAGTGGTCAAATGGATTCGAATTCAAGTGATTTTTTGTATATATGATCTTTGAAGCAATACTTACAAAAAAAGATATAGTTCGGAACATTGAAATACATTGTGGAATGAGCCCCGTAAGATGTCTTATTTGAGGGAGTTTGTATGTGTGTATATATAGGACTTGGTAAAGTTAAGTTTACATTCCTCAAGTAAAGCGCTATCCTTTCGTTGCATGAGAGTTGTTGAACCTTTTTAGTAAATAACCCCATATATGATTGTACCTAACGACCACTTGCTTGCTTGTATTGAATGTCTTCAAACCCTTTGTAATAAACAAACATAAATACATAATCTTTATTAACAGTCACATTTCAAATTTAGTTGAGTCGATCGATAGTTGTAATTGGAAAAACATACTGGCGTTTTAGTAAAAGAAATAGTATTTCTTGTCACAGAACAGAATACGTTTTATATTATTTTAACAAGTGGTATGAAACCGATATCATATATTTTAATTTAGGACATTAATTGACAAGTGGTATTCATCAGTCATTTATTTCAATCAGGTGGATTACTACTTTTCTCGCAATGGTGGTTGTAACTTCACATTACACAAGTTCTTTATATAGAAATAGGATACAAACTCTTTATATAGAGGACTAAACGATATACACACATAAATGAAAATCTAAACTCGATGGATGGCCCCAAGAGAAATCAAACCAGCCCTGCAATCGTAACCACCCTTCCCCTTAGAGAAGCTAGTATTAGCGAGGGTAAACGGTGAAGTATGTCTGGAAGGAAGTAAGAATGAAGGCCAAAATCGAGGCAATAAACACTGTCGCACTCCATGCAGAAGAGAAATAAGTGCGATAAAGGTCCTTGATGTATCTTCGAAACCAGTATGTACTGGTGTATAACTTGACTTGGGCGCACAATTTACCAAAATAAAAGTCGTCCATACTGACAACAACTACTTCATCTAGGATATTTTTAAACTGAGTCAAATCTTGTTTGTCTCCAATCCGATTGTCCTTTATGATCTTTTTTCTCCGAAGCAGTTTGATATCCTCTGGGGAACGGATAAGACTCTTCATGAGGAAGGCATACGATGTGACGCCATGCGTACCGCCAAACCTGCATTGCTCATAAGCAATCAGGTTCCGAAAGAGTGAACTCGTCGTGTCATGAATGAGCACTTGTGGAATTGTAATTACCCCATCCTCAAAAGTTATTTTCAACAAATTGTCCTCAGTACTTGCCCCAACTTTCAGTTTCACTCCCGACTTCAAAAGTTGTGAGGCGCAATTCAATCCCCACTTTGTATCGCTTGCTGGCTCTACAGGTTGATCATGATCAGGATCAAGGCCTGAACATTCACCCTCGGAGCTGGATTCCTTATCAATATCAATTGACACCTCGTCGGTTGAGAGGAAGTAGAATTTGTGCAAGAGATCAAGCAAATGCTTGAACTCTAAACTTCCCGTCTCTTCTTTTATTTGCTTTAGGCTCAGAGGCTGAAAGAACTTGAGAGCAAGGCTAGTGACCGACTTTGGCAGTTTGCACTTAATGACATAAGGCTTGATAGCTTCGTATAAAAGTTCGAGAATAAAGAAGGGGATCTGGTTTTCAAGTAATGCCAGATCATGCCGAAGAGCAGCAATCATCCAAGCACTTTCTGTGCATGGATCAGATTTGTATTGGTCAGAATTTATATAATTTAAGCTTCGGTCAAACCGGAGAAAAAGTTCCAATATGAAGCAACCATCAAGTAACATTATTTCTGCAAGCTCATCCTCTGTATACTTGATGGTTTCAGTGTAGCATTGACGAACCACTCGATCCAAACCATAAATAGCCTCGGTGCAGTCTTCGAAGCATTTCTGAGACTGTTGTTCAGCGCATTTCCTATACTTAGGATCTTCAGGATCTTGAGCAACTTTTTGCTGAAAAAATGACATCATGTAAAACCATTTATATTGTTTCATTGTTGCAAGGTTATCAACACTGTCTCGATGCAAAGGCCCCACTGAGACAACGCGAGGGCGGTAGGCATCCACCTTGACTTGCCGAAGTTTATCCGGAACTTTATAGATACAAAATTCTCCTTCGACTAGTATTTCGCTCTCGGCGTAGAAGATTTTGTACTTTGTTTGGTCCACTTTGCTGAGATTTTCAATAATCTTCCTCTTCCAGTTTTCTCTTTGTGTTTCTTCATCATCTGCTGCAGGGTTTGTCTCACGTACCTGTTTCGTTAAAATGGATAGGAGAAGAGGAGGCAACAACAGGCCAAAAAAAAAAACAGAAAGTGTAATTTAATAGACTGCATACAAAGTATATGGGTTGAGCTTTAATGTCAATGTGGATGCAAATGCAGAGTCAAAGAGAGAAGCTCTAAATTTACCTGAAGTTCTTCGCTCGATTCACTCATCTTGGAAGATTTCCCTTTATCGTCCGGTCGTCTACCAATGTGATCGAGCTTAGTCCTAGAAGACTGAATATTGCCTTTAATTTATAGCC